CGTAATTCACAATAGACATAAAATATAGTCTTCCAATCAAATGATCGATTACATATACAAAACAATAATCATATGCATCAATTTAAAATATAGCATCATCCTGCTTAAACCAGCCTCTTGCCTAGGATAATGTCCTCTGCACCACTCGATGTACCTGAAAATTAATCCCCACACTGGGTGAGATACAATCTCAGTAAACCCAAGGTCCTTGGAGACTCCTCTAATCCTGAGCTCACTTCCGTGATATGTAGGCATCAAAATGGAATTTTGAAAACAAGCTCACAATAACTAGCATATATCCATGAAAGGTGTATCAACACCAACCAAGCCATTTATTTGGACTATCAGTCATCCCCGGAATGTTGGTATTAATCATAATCGAGCCACCCTTTTGGTCCATCAGCCATCCTCGAAATGCTCATATCAATTAATTCTGCTGGCCATAATATATCCAATCATGTAGCCATACATGACATTTTATAATCTCAAGCTCAAGCAATAACACCCAATTTTAACACAACCTATTCCAAGGTAAATAATTCCATTAACAACACATCCAACATACAATACATGAAAACCAACTCAAGTCATCAACATGCATAGGCTCAAAAGCTTACCTTTTTTGCTGATTTTTAATAACCTTATCGTAATGATGGTTTCTCTACAAAATCACCATAAAAACAACAACCCTATGCATAAAAGCATGTGCTCAAGCATCAATCAACCAAAACTAAAGTTCATTTTCGGATTTTTCCAAAATCCCACCATAATCCCTAACCTCAAACATCCAATCTTCAAGAAAACTCAAAGAAAACAACCAACTAACTGTAGGTACCCCCAAAGGCTTGAAGAAATGACACCCATGAGCTCCAAAAATGGAGAAAGGCACATTCCTCTTTTACAGACCTATGGATGTTCAAAAACTGGGTTGGAGAAAGATTGAGTTTCTTCTTAATTTAAAAGCTCGAGATAGAAGTAGGGTTAGTGTTTATGAAGAAGATGGGGAAGTTGGGTTACACTTGGGTTGTCCAAGCTTATTCTTCTAGGAACATCAATGAAGGTGAGGAAAAGAGAGATTTTTGGCTAAAGGGTAAGGTTTCACGAAATGGGTATTTGAGTTAATGAGGATATATGGTGTTTTAACCATTTTTGGCTCTGCTTGCTGAGATGCTAGCTACAACAAGAAAATCAGCGAGTTTAAATACTCTTCTTGATGAAATGCTCTCTATAGCAAGCAAATCAGCGAATTTTGAAGTTTTGCTCTCACTAGACTGCTCGCTACATGAGCGAACTGACACTGATGCTGAAATGTCATATTGCTTCAAAATCATTATTTCACCCATCTAATGACATATCTGATTACAATTAGGGTAAATTAATTATGTAGGTCATTATAAGAAAATTTTATTAAACATCTCCAATAAATATTTTTTAGGCATATTAATAATAATCCTCGTTTAGAGATAATAATCTTAGATCAGTCAAAATATTTTGAAATAATAATAATAATAATAACTTTTCTTATTATAGATGTACATTGTTTTGACATAAAATTAACTTCAAGAATACATACATATAGAAAACTATGTATTAGAAATGTAAAACATTGTTATTCAAAAAAAAAAAATGTAAAACATTGATATGTGAATTATTCTTTTTCTCCAATCCGTTAAATGCTTATCTAAGAATCAGATACATATTGATTATTCACCACAGCTTAAAGAGTACTTGCATTTTATACATCAACTCAATTTAAAGTCAAGATAGGCTCACTCACTTAAAGAGTACTTACAAATAATCCTCATTTAAGATATTTATAGAATTTACTATAAGTAGGAGTATGATGTATCAAGTTACATAAATATTTTAAGTCTGGCCTATTAGTTGGCTAAATTATAGGCCTTATCTAACTTAAATTTAAAATGTAGGATAGTTAATCTAGCTTATTAACCTTTTTAAGTCTATAAATTATACTAAACCTAATTTGTATTCATCATATGAAAAGTCAAAATTTCAATAATTAATTAAAAAAATCAATTGATGATATTATATAAAATATTTGCAAATAGACAAAGAAATTATCTATGAAGCACCGACACTTCAAAGATCTTGACGTGTCATGTCCGACACTTCCCGACACTCTCCGACACTCCAACACGCATTGTAGAAACTCAAAAAATGGTTCAAAAGTTGCATTGCGTTGTATTTTTAGTTCCAACTAATAGATTCGTTAGATTACGATTATAATTTTATTGAGTTTAATATAAATATTTGGGATATCTTATGTTTCTTTGCAAAGTTGATGGGTATTATAAGTTTAACTTCATTTTTTTGTTAAATTATTGAATATTAAATATAATATACACTACATAAATAAAAAAAGTATTATTTAATATCACAACGTATCCTAACGTGTCAAAATCTAACTGTTTTTAGAATTAACGTGTCGGGGTGTCATATCGTGTCGTGTCACGTGCCCGTATTGGTATCGGTGCTACATAGGAAATTATAAATATTTTGGAATTTATCTCTTTCATTTTTTTCTAATCAATTACTAAAATATTTAACTTTTTCCATCATAAGTAAAATCATACTTTAAAATATTTCCTTATATTTTTAACCACCAATCAAGTATACCATAAGATTTTTTTTTCTTTTTGAGTCCATAGATTTGAAAAGATAAATTACTTATCTTTCCTTTTATCCCGGGTGAAATACAATTGGAGGAACCTATTCAAACCCCTTGTAAAATAAGGATATATAGTCCTACGTCTAAAGTGCCAATAATAATAACATTTCTTATTTAAGATGAATATTTCTTTAACGTAAAATTAACTTCAGGGATATGTCAATTGAATTTTTTTCTTGAATTATTAAATGCTTATCCAGAAACCAGATACAATATTAATTATTTACTTTTACTAAAAAGAAAATTAATGAAATATTTAAATTTAACAATTAAATAATTAATGCATTCAATTAATGATAAAAAATATAATAATAAAAAATTGTTCTAAAGTGTTGCTTACTTTATCAATATAAATCAACAAAAAAATAATAAAAAAATTGGGGCAGAATCTCAAGTGACATTAATCACCAAATCCTTCTTTTGTTTGATAAGGACTCTTAGCCAATCAAATTGTGTCGCTCACATTATAATTCTTGGTTATAGAACTTAAACTCTGCGTTTCTCCACCTATTATAAATTCAGAGATTGTCTTGCATTAGTCCTTATTCGAGTGTAGGATTCAAGTATTCAAACCCCGATATTTGAACTATTTTCTAGTCTTTAAGGGAAGATGAAGTTGTGTTTTCAAGCAAAGGCTATGGAGCACGGAGATTCCTTCTTTTCCCAACATGCAAGCTCAAGTTCTAGTAAACAATCTATAGAAAAGAAAAAAGAAACTTTTATATACTTCTATGTGAATTTTCTTTTATATAGACACACTTTTAGACTTCGCGATTAGATCGATACCTATCTTGGATTTTGGTCATTGCAATTGAAATTCTTATTTCTATTTTTTTAACTTCTTTTTTTAGTTTTGTTTCTAGTATATATATATATATTTATATATATTTATATATATATATATATATGTATAGCTAGATTTATGGCTATAGTACAAGTTGTATGATTGGTACTATTTCAACAGTGTAGGTTGAGTGAATAGTAACTGACTCGTGTTGCTACAGTTCCTGCCGACACTTTGATTACATCACTGCCTGCGTCACCTTTTTCTGACATCATGCTCGTGTTATTTTGCCATCAGCGCCACTACAGTGATTTTCTTCAACAGTCTTCTGCTAAGTTGATTCCAAAACAATCATCTTCATTTTGATAGAAGTCATCTGCTGAAGAGGAGATGGATGGAGAGGGAGAACCAATTTTCTGTTTAGAACTTCCAGTTTCTTCCTCTTGAATGAGTTGGAGGATGCTTTGCAAATTTTTTGCGAAGTTTTCCTTGCTGGTTGAAGCAGATAGTGCTGCTGTAATTTTAGCCTTCTGATTCAAGAAAGTGCAATTTGTTGGATCAACTGTTTTGATATGTTTTGGATGTTGCTTAAACCAAAGCTTGACATTTTCTGGGCAAGCTCTAGATGCATCAAATTCCGTCCACCACTTAACAAAAGCTTATCGTCTAAGTATTGGGAGTTTGGTGCCAGATTTATCTCCATAATGATACTGCCATGAAAATATCCATGCCAGAGAAAATTTAGAGAAAAAGTAAAGGTTTAATGGAAACGGATATGATATTTTGTCAAATTTTTCTGAAAAGATTGTTAACCCTTTGAACACCATAGGTGGAAGGATATCAATAATTAGTCCAAAATAATCCCACCATTTGATAAACCGTTGAGGAAATTTATATTGCACATTTTGCTTAAAATAAATTAACCAAGAGTGTTTATTTTCTTTACTTTGCATAAAGAATACATTGATTTAGGCTAATTCATAATTCCAGTAGTTATATCCAATTGGATCATAAGGTTGGGAGAATTTGGTAACTTTGTTTAGGTTTCCATATTCTGATGGGGTAATTACTTTCAGAATTTGGATGGTTGAGTGAGTTATAAACTCAGGGTCTTTTGGACTTCTGTAATGTTTGATTGAAATAGAGTTTGAATCAAGTAGAACAAACTCATAGAAATTTTGGGATTTATTTGAAGAAAGGGGTTTGAAATGGAATTGATTGCCTTTGAAGTCTTTGGGAAAAATCTTTGCAAGTACTTTGGTTGGCTTATTATCCCAATAGGCTGGTTCCATTTGAATAACTTGAACTTGTTTTTTGGGATATATGGTGTTTGGGCTTTTGATTTTTGGGTAAAGACTGGTTTTGGTTGAATTTCTAGGGCCTTGTTTGGAAGGTTAGAAATCTGTCTGTTTTTAAGTTATCAATCAAAACAGAAAGACGTTCTTCCTGTTCATCTTCTGAGGCTATTTCAGCCCATGATTTTTTGGGTAGATGGGTCAAGCATATATCTTGGAGGGCTTGTAGGGTTTAGATTGGCATAGCATAATCTGCTTTGGTTTGTTTAGAAGAGGAAGTATCCTCAACTCTTTGGGTGGGTGACCCAGTTTGGGGTTGGGTTGATGACCCAGATTGTTGCAGGGCTGGAGACCCAGATTTTTGTGATTTTTTAGCTAACCCAGCAAGGATTAGGTTTCCTTTTCTCTCTTTGGAAGAGGTTGATTTTATCGATTTCAGCATTTCAGGACACTGTTTATCTTCCCTGCAGAAATTCACGAGTGAGATAATTAGGGAGAGAGTTTGAGGTGCCTTTGAGATATTCTATTTCAAAATCAAAAACACTTAAGATTACTTGCCATCTAGCAAAAATTTGTTTAGATGCTAAATTCTTTACAACTTTTTGTAAAATGTCTTTTGCAGATTTGCAATCAACACGGATTAAAAACTTTTGATTTAATAAATCAAATTGAAATTTTGAAATGCTAAAAACAATTGCTAAAACTTCTTTTTTTACAGTGGAATATTTTTGTTGTGCTGATTTCCAATGTTTTGAAGTATGTGCAATGATATACTCTTTGTCTGAGACTCACTGTTTGAGAATGCCACCATAACCTATGTCTAAGGCATCAGTTTCAAGAATTTTGAAAGCCTGAGGATTGGGAAGATAAGACAAGGAAATAAGGTCTTTCTTAAGACGATTATGGAGAGGCTTGATTAGATTATTAAGCTGAGGAAAGAAGTCACCTACATAATTTAGACAACCAAGAAATCTCTGTAATTGGGTTTTATCAATAATTTGATTGGGAAATTTGTCAGCAAATTCAATGGCTCCACAGATTGGAGTAATAGTCCCTTGATAAATGTTATGGCCGAGGAATCTGATTTTTGTCTGAAAAAGATTGATTTTTGATTTAGAAAGAGCTAAGCCACTCTTCTTAATTACATCTACAAAAATATGAAGATGTTTGAAATGTTGATCAATAGATTGAGAAAAGATAAGAACATCATCAATGTAGACGATGATGAAGGTTGAGTATGGATTGAAAATGTCATTCATGATTCTCTGAAATTCAGAAGAAGCATTCTTCAGACCAAAAGGCATTACTTTCCATTCGTATTGACCAAATGGAACAGTAAAAGTTGTCTTGTAACATTCATTATCATTCAGCTGGATTTGCCAGAACCCAGATTTCATGTCAAATTTCGAAAAGATTTTTGCTGAGTACAAACGATTGAGAAGATCTTTTTTATTTGGAATCGGATAACGAATCGATTGAAGAGCTTGATTAAGAGGCTTATAGTTTGTAACTAAGCGGGGTGTTCCACGCTTAATTTGTGATTGTTTGTTGACATAGAAAGTAGAGCATGACTAAGGACTCTTGCTTTTCCGGATGAGACCTTTGGCTAACAGATCAGCAATTTTTTTTTGACAAAAGGCAAGAAGTTCACCACTCATTTGAATTGGACGAGCTTTGGTTGGGATTTGCCTTTCATTGAAGTCTTTTCGTAGGGAAGATCTATGATATGTTTTTTCCTTTGCCAAAAAGCAATTGGAAGATCAGAACAAATTGTATTCTAGATTTGTTCAAACAAGACTTTGATTTTTTGTTGAACTTCAGGCTGCTTTAATTGATTTTCAATATTCTTAAAATAAATTTCTTCTTTAAGGAAATTGATTTGTTTTTGTTTGTGATGGATGAAATTCAAGTCTCTTATGATGGGTTTTTTTAACAAATTTGAAAAGAATTGGTTTGTCCAGATGATAAGTAATTATACCTTCATCTGTGATAGTTAGAGGAAAGAGAGATTTGATAAACGGAGTTCCAAGAATAACTCCATTTTTGAGATTTTTAACAACAAGAAACGATGTTTCAACTTTTAAATTATCATTTTCTATGATTGCTTTAGGAAGTTTAGAATTGACTTGAAGTTTTGAACCACTAGCAGTGCTAAGACGTTCAAATTTTTTTTCAAAGTATTTAGTAGGAATTAGCCCTTCTTGAATGCAGTTTGAATCTGCCCCTGTATCAAACAGAGCTTCAATTTCAAGGTCAAAGTTGCCTACATTAAGCTTGATTGGGATGTAGAATTTTTGAATTGTTAATTGAATAATTAAACTTAAAAATTCTTCATCTTTAAGATTCTTATCCTCATCTGGTTTAGACAGAGTATTTTCCATACTTGTTCCTGTTGATTCTTCATTTTGTAATTAAAGAAGAATGTTCTGATGAGTTTGTTGTTGTTCTTTGATTTATTTAACTTCAGTTTTGAGAATATTGATCTCATACTGAAGATCTTGGACAGTTATTGGTTTGACAATAATACTTTTTTTGAGCTTTTTAAGAGTATCTTTGAGATTAAATTTATTAGGAACAAACAATTCTTTAGATTTAGAAGAACTGGTTTCTAACGATGATTTTAACTTTGCTAAGTAAGCTTTCATTTCTTGAGGATCACTGATTGAATCTATGACTTCGAACAAGAGATCTTGTTCTTTAGTCACTACATTAATTTCCTGTGAGGATTATGAATCCTCACTAGAAGATAAATCATCTTCTTGGATTTGATTTAAGTCTTCAGAAGATTCTTTTCCAGATTCTTCATCTGAGGTTTGAATTAGAAGATTATTGATTTGTTCTTCAATAGATGGATCGAAGTTTAAATTATTTAGTTTCTTCTTAAGCCTACAATATTTACTAATATGGCCAGGTTTACCACAGCTATAGCAAATTGTTGGCTTGATTGGCTTGGATGTATTTTGTGATTTATTTGTTTCAGTATTAGGCTTAGGATTTTCGTTTTTAAACATTTCATTGTAATTAGGTTTCTTACGAAAATTCCTAAAAGTTTAAACTTGCTTGTGTTCCTGTTTTTTATGTTTTTTAGTTTTTGTAGCGCAAGGTAGACCAAATTGTTCACAAAATGATCCTAAGTCTTTATGATTTTGAGCCTTTTCTTTTACAAGTTGACGTTGGATCTTATCATCTTGACAAATTTTTAAAGCTACCTTTTGGATATAAGCAACTAATTGTCCATAACTTAATTGCTCATAAGGAATATCTCCAGTTGCTGATTGATGACAAATTATATCCCTAACTTTGTCTCCTAAAGATTTTGGAACAACAGTTAAGAATTTTTCTTTCCAGAAAGATTGTTGACTATCATCTCGAGTGTAAACTCTAGTAAGGAATGTATCTTTATACCTACGAAAGTCAGCTAAGGTTCTACATTTAAGATTGGATAGGAGTTCAGCAGAACGATCTTTCCATAAAGATGGATCACTAATAAAATGTTGGATAATGGTGAAGATTAGTTGATTAACATCATCAGGAATAGTTTTTCCATCAGAAGTTATTAGAGTGCATCAAAATCAACTTTAACGGCATTAAGGACTAAAATTTTTTCATCTTCAGAAAGATAATTATCCCACCAACCTTTGAGTTGACCAGAGAAGCCAGAGACAATAATATTGACAATGATTTCTTCAGAACAGTTATGAGAATTTTGATATGCAGTTGCAACCATAGTCATATGGTGCAAAGTATTAAGTATGTTATACTCTGATTGACTATCTACGTTCCATTCATAGGTGTTGTTACCATTGAAACTTTTGAAGCTTGTATTCTTTTCTTCAAGTAGAAGATCAGGAGTAGTTGCCTTTTGATGGTAAAGTTTGGATGGGTTTCTCCAATTATTAATACCAGTTACAGGATTAATTTTGATTTCAGATTTGTTATCTGACTCAGGAGATTCATTATAATGATTCAGAGTATTGACATGTTTTGTTGACCGAGTGTTCATTTTATGAGACTGTTGAGTCTCTTGATCAGAATGTTGCGGAGTATCAGAAATGGTTAATGTACTTAATTTCTCATCAATTTTCTTAAGAAATTCATCCTGAGACTGAGATTGAGCAGGTTTTAACTTTGCAAACTGGTACTGAATTCTTCCATCTCTAGGGTTCTTAAACCCAGGAAAACTGGAGAAACTACTTTGTTCCTCACTGACATGTCTAGAGAAAATGTCACTGTGCCCAAGACCATCCGTTGGACTGATATAGGGGTTTACATTTCAGCAGCTCCTGTACGTGCAACAATCAAATACTTGCCATATATATACTTGAAAGCATTAAATGCAGGGAATCATATATGGTATTAAGCGACACATGTTTGTAACAATATATAACATTTATGCAGCTGCTGTACGTGCAACAATCAAATATCTGTAACATCCCGTTCCAGACCAGTTTGTTATCATCACATATGGTATTAAGCGCAACATGTCTAATTATGTTAACCGCGGAAGCTTACTTTATAGTTCACTAATAGCCTTAATTAAATCGTGAACAAACTTTTTCTCTTTCAATTTTATTTCAATTCGCTAATCATTTCTTGTTCAATTAAAACTACTTGATACTTTCTTGTGCCTCCCATGTTTTCAAAATAAACAGACGACATCTCCTTTGTATTTGGAGGTTGTGGGGATTATTCCCACAGAGAAAAGGTTACCTAATTGACATTTGATTATATTTTATACAAGTCACACACATACATGAATCTTATTGCCTGGCAATCTATTGCTTAGGCTATCAAATACATACGATTTCTCAAAATAATACCAATATAATTATTTACTTAATTGCGTCAATTAATCAAAAGAGGTGCAAATAAACAAATAACATAGCTTATACATATATTTCACTAACACTGCATATAGACTATCCAAGATGGCATAGACACTTCCTATGCTCTTCACAACATATCATCGGGTTATATGCATCAAAATAACAGTCATGCACATATTAGAAGATAGTCTAAATCATATATCATGTCATCAAGGCATAATAACAATCATGTCTCTTGCTACATGCACTATCTCTATCCTAGCCTCCTGCCATGCGATGCCTCAACACCATCGAGCTCTGTACCTGAAATGTAAGTCCCCACAGGGGGTGAGATCAACCATCTCAATAAACTAGGGGTCCTTGGAGAGCTCCTCCACCCCTAAGTTCACTTCAGGTATAACTACAGTATACAATAATATATATGCATCAGAATATGTATATCAATGCATGTGTGCAATAATCAATCCTACTGGCCAGAGAATATAACAAGTATGCATTATGCAAGGAAACACCGTCTTGCAACATACTGTATGAGGAAACACCATCTCATACTATGCATAAGGAAACATCGTCTTATGCCTCACACAAGAAAACACTGTCTTGTGTGGCACACAAACATACATACATATACATGCAAGATATAACAATTTATTTTCAACATACCATATCAAACTACCATCCTCCCTCGGAGTCTGGTGGAACAAATGAGGGATTAACCCCAAGGATCGAAAGCTTACCTGTCAAGCACTGTCCTCCAATACACTCCTTGTATCCAAGGGGTCACAACCACAATCTCTCACAATATTACATCTTATTCCAAATACGTGAAGACAATCAGCACATATATATTAGTCTACCACATTCAATTTTCAAGACTACACATAAAGACACCTACACTTGATTTTGAGTCCAATTTATCAAAGTGTCCTAAATGGCGATTTCATAATTTTTCCTTTTACGGGGACCAATCCCAAACATATTTAACAAAAGAAGCTATATCCAAATCACTCTCTAACTATCCATACCATCAAATCCCCATTTATACAACCTTAAATTCATGCATTTTGTCCAAAATCACAAGAAAGAGTTGGGGGAATTACCTTGGGAGCCTCAAATCACGAAATAGAAGACAATCCAAGCTTCCAACAAGGTCACAACCCTTCCTCAAGCCTTAAATCTGAAAATGGCAGCCATGGGTCCTTCAAAATATGTTTCACTCACTCCCAAATACAACACCACAATGGAAAAAGATGAACAAATGGGTGAGATGAAAGGATTTGTGGTTGGTTGCCTTTGATTCTCAATGGAACGATGAAGCAAAGTAAAAGAGAAAAGAGAAAAAACTCCCTTTGGTGGAGAGGAAACAGCCACGGGATGAGAGAAAGAATGAGAGAAACTTCGTAAGCTTTTGGCACTTAGTGATTTAAATAAACCCAATGGGTATAAGCTCATCTATCCCACCCACTTAACTCTCATTCTAACTTTACACATTGGTTTACAATATTTTTGTGGTAATATTTTCATATTTACTTTCACTTTTTGAGTAACTTTATTTACTCATTTTTTTACCACTTAACTGTCATTTTAACTCTCTTTTTACCAAAGGTGATTTTATTTCTTTTTCTTCTAATTTCTTTATAATTATTCTTCAATATTATGATTAAAATCGTTAATTCATAATTAAATTCACAACTATATGTGAGGGTTATTATTCATAATTAAATTCACAACTATATGTGAGGGTTATTATAAATATAATTATCGGCTGTGGCCTGACTTATTTTCAAAAAATAAAACCCTGGTTAAACCTATTAGCCTGTTTAAAAAAAAATTAGACAACATAAATTTATCCAAACAAAATATACAATCAACAACAATAGTATTTTCATAAATATTCATAAATTCAATGTATATCCAAACAGCATAATATAGAACAAAATCATTCAAAAAGTCTGTTTAACCAATAAAATAAGGTGAAATAGATTGAGGAGAGAGAAGAGGCTATTACAAGTACTATAAAAAATATAAAATAAAAATAAAAATTAATATAATAGGTCATCCTGAGAGGCTCTAAGGCCGAGTTTTTGAATTGGAGCCTGAGGTCTTTATATTAAATGATCTTTTATACAAGTCCAAGCCTGATTCTAACAACCAATTTTAGAAATGTAAACTGAAGCCTTCACGAGCCGAGCTAAAGGCCCCTGATTCGTTTATCACCCCTAATAGACACATATAAAAGTGCATGGGACCTATGTGAAAAGAAGAGGGAGAAAAAGAAAACATAAGCCCCCCATATATTTTTATATGTATTTAGGAGATAAAATTATCTTTTACAACCCCATAAACACTAATCCCTTACCCAAATCATTGTTTGAAACTTTCCAAATGGAAAACCAAATATTCGATCACCAATCTTTTTTTGTCTATTTAACTTGAAAAAAGAAAACTGAGTTAGTTAATTAAGCACAAATGCAATTATACTAATTCAGTTTCGTGTGGTTCAACATCCCTCCCAAATTAATCATTGCTATGATGATATTAGAGAAGGGAAACATTAAAAAATTTCCTTATCTTCCAAGTTAAAAATGATGACAAAATTACATCTTATTTATAAGGGCAAAGGGCAAATCTCAATACATAAGACTCTCCAACTAACAAAGGTAGAAATGAGGATTAATTGTATACAATTTTATCATTATATTTTTATAAAAAAACTATTTTCAGACTCAAACATGTGACGTTGCGGTTAAAAAAACAACCTTACAGCTGCTAGAATTACATCTTAACTCACTAGAATATAAAACATTACAACAAATTGGCATGTTGAAGAATAATACTTCTCTTCCAACTAAAAGAGAGAATTAAAGTAGAGGCCCTTGTTTTAATCATGCAAAGCTGAAGGAGATGAATACAACTAGAGCCAGTGCTGTTGATTTGATGGCAATAGAGCTTGGCAATCTGCCATTGTCCTTCCTTAAGAAAAGGCCATGGTAAAGAGGCAAATTGATGAGAACCAGAAAGCCACACAATAGAACTTGCAACACCATTTTCTCATAAGCTCCAAGACCACCTTCCCTTAGGACTGCATCCTTCAACACACTAAGAAAACAAAACAAATTGAGCAATGCAAGTGTTGCTAGTATAGTGAACATTGGAGAGGAGGTTCCAAAGTCCATAATTTCTTTATAATGGCGTTTGGAAGCATCTTCTTCTGTAACCTTAGCTGTGATTGTAAAGGCTGAATTTGAGTATCCAAAAAGCTTCAAGATGGTGTCAATAAAGGCAAATAGGTAAGAGCTTGTTCTCTTGTATAACCATATCCGTAGGTCATTCCACCAACCTTGAAATGTGCCTCCAGAGAACAAAAACTCCAACAAACTACAACTAGTTTCCCCGAGTATTACATATGCAAAAGGTATGAACCATGGACTTGACATCTGATAAATCCAACAATAACCAATTTAACACATGAATGCTCAATACATTTTTTGTATTTGCTTAGAAAAATCATGAACATATATACACATTTGTGTAGGTATGTGTATGTATACACATATTAACAGGGTCGTAACAGGGTCTAACTTACAAGTTATTTTGGAAGTCCATGTATGATTTTGGGAAAATTTGAGTTAGTTCCTTAAAAAGCTTTTCCACTTTGGTTTGGGTTTTTTATTCCCAAAGTGAACATCTTATTATCAAACACATCTTGAAATCCCAAAGTGAAAAAGAAAATGAATTAATGTAACAATGAGTAAAATAAAATAGCACAAATAATAGCCTACTTTTTTTTATCTACATCTCTATAAACTATGAGAAAATAGGAATGAATTCCTTTTATTTAATTAAATTAAGCACTTAGAAAAGGGAATTTTTACCTTTGGAAACAAGGGAATGCCTTTAAGGAGATAGAGTGAAGGGATGATGCAGTAATATAGTGTTGCCAAACAGTTAGGTGCCCATAAGCCATAAATACAATATCCCATTTGGAGTCCAAAATTGATCCTTCCAAGAGCATACCACACAGTGCTGTACTTGGAAAACAAAATTTGAAAGTGTCCTTCAGACCATCTCTTATGTTGAACAAGTGCTTGAGACAAAGTGGTTGGAGCTACACCTAAGAAAGCCCCCCTTGGTGGGTTGCAGTACACTGACTTCCATCCTTGGCATTGTATAGACAATCCAGTTATCACATCCTCCACTGGACACCCATATTTCAAACCTATCTGCAATTCAGAAAAACATTATGCAGCTAAATTTAGTCACAATGTTAGAGAGTAAAATATAATATATTAAAAAGACCATCACCTATCACCTTAAGGTTTTGGGTTGAAGTGGTTCTTAACATGGTATCAGAGCTTAAGTGACCATAAGGTTGCGAGTTCGATCCTCACTGCCCTCCACTTTCAGGTGGAATTAAGAAAAATACAAGGCAGATCAAAAAAATTGGGCTTGTGTAGCACAAGATAGACCAAAAATGGGCTTGTGTCATATCCACGCTTCAAGCCCAAAGGACTTTTGCGTGAGGGTGTGTGTTAGAGAATAAAATATAAAGTATTAAAAAGACTATCACCTATCACCTTAAGGTTTTAGGTTGATTTGATTCTTAACGCACAACATATTTACTCTTATATAATACTATAAGGAGTGTGTGTGTGAAAGAGAAAGAGAGAGAGAAACCTCTTTTCCCCATAGTGTGTTTTCTTCGTAGGTGCAGCTTGCAAGAGCCCTTGATTTTTCTTCTAGTTCTTGAAAAATTGCTTCTATGAATTGGTCATCTTCGCTCTTCCAGTCATTCCTGTATTGATCACTGAACTTCATCCCACAGAGACTATCTCTCTTGTGAAAGCAGCCAGTTCCTATATACAAAGGGCCACCATAACCGTCTGCACCATGGAACTCCACCTTCATTTCATACATAAAAAAACCACAAATGTTTAAGCTATTAGGTAAAGACACAAATAATTATCAACAATAATAACATAATTTATAAGCAGAACCGCAAGGGGAAAAAAACTCTCCCTATCAAATTTTTAATACAACTGCCTAATTGTTGAGATATATAGTCTAACATTGGTTGTATGTGCAACTAATGTGGAGTTTGTACATGTTGAGATATATAATCGAACACTGGTTGTATGTGCAACTAATGTGGAGTTTAAAAGGCCTTGGACACTCCCACCCTTTGAACTAGCTTTTGGGGTGGTGTATCCCAAGGTTCTTTACCTGGTATCAAAGCTTGAGTGACCATAAGATCACGAGTTCGATCCTCACGACCCCCTACTTTCAAGTGGAATTAAAATAAAAAACACAAAAGGTAAACCAAAAATTGGGCCTGTGCAATTCCACGCTTCTAGCCCAATGGGCTCTTGCATAAGGGGGCGTGTTGAGATATATAGTCTAACATTGGTTGTATGTGCAACTAATGTGGAGTTTATAAGGCCTTGGACACTCCATCCTTTGAACTAGCTTTTGAGGTGGTGTAAAGGTTTTTTACACTAATCAAACTCGAGACCATAGGTTAGAATTAAAATTTAATATTTAACTTGTTAAGCTTTTGATTCTACAGATAGCTTACCTCGCTAGCTGATAGTAAAATACTTCCATATAAATCATTCTTAGTGACATTCTCATAATGCTGTGGATACTGAACAAAAGCAATTTCATGGCCTTTCTCTTCATCCATGAAAAAACAGAGAGCATCCCTCACAGTTTGTGAATTGTTTGAATACATGTCACAGTCGACATTAAGAATGATTTTCCCGTTGCTGATATTTGAAGACACCCTTAACTGCATTTAGTCCAAAGAAAAGAATGTGAGCTATTATTATACTTCATAGTTCATACCAACAAGCACATATTTCATACTTCTCACCATTTCCGGATCCAGGAAATTATATCACGGTGGAGGGAAATTTATATTACTATTGTAAAAAAATAATGTCAGTTTTGGTTGGATGATCACACTAAGAGCCTGTTTGGATCCTCTTATTTTTAAGCTAGAAGCTACTTATAAGTTAAAGCTAAAAAAAAGAGCTTAAAAAAAAGCTAAAAGCTGTTTGGAAATTACATAAAAATTTTAGCTTAAAATTTACTTAAAAGCACATATTTTAAGAAAATTATCTCTCTCTCTATCTTTATCACTCTTCATTTAAAAAAAATACAAATTCAAGAAAAACAGATAAGAGCTTAAAAAAAACTTCTCCTAGGAGCTTTTAATTTTCAGCTTTTTTCTTCATTATAGAAAAAAGAGCTTTTCATTATAAGAGCTTTTCCCAAAACCTGTTTGGCCTAACTTATGCTTATAAGTAGCTTCTAGCTTAAAAAAAGAGGATCCAAACAGACACTAAGAATACAAAAATACCTATTAAGAAAAACCTAATAAAATTACATAATTTTTTGGAAGAACCTAATAAAATTACCTAATTTTTTTGCTAATTTTTTGGTTGGAATGTCAATTTTTTGCTTTCGGTGACAATGGTCCAATACACCTTCTATTTCAATGAGGAACAACCTTAATACCCTATTTTGTTTGTAAGATCAATTTTTTATTGTTTATTTCATGCCTTCTGGTGTTATAATTGCACTTTCTTTTATTTCTTCATAATCTTATTTTCTCACTTAGCTGTTATTTAGCATAAGACATAGTAAATTAATTAATGTGTTATTTGTCTTTAGCATTTGGTTCCAACTAATAATTAATAACTATTACTGGCCTTTTTTCTTTGCCAACAAAGTCAAAACTTAAATACTCTTCTCCTGAGTTCTGACATGACAATCTGTATAAATTTTTAATGATTTCAAAAAAAAAAGATAATCAATCAATATAAAACCAAATTCTAAACAAATTTGATAGGTAGAGTGAATATGCATTACTAACTGAACTCTTCTTTGTATACAACGGAAAAGCCAGCTTTCCACATTGTTGAGGAGGGTAGCAGACCAAGAACAAAACCTGCCATATATGCTGGCAGGTTGAATCTGGTGCAATGAACAAGGAGAAATTTTTTTTTATGAATAGGATCGCTTGTGTTTCACTTTTTAAAAGCATTTTCAAAATTTTGTTTTTACAGACTATGTTGCATATCATATAGAATAACATATTTTCATATTTTAAAGGGAGGCGGGGCCCACCCTATCCCCCTATGTCTGCTTGTCACTCTTAACTAATTAGGCACCATATTCATACAAATTCACGACCATGTTTGAATCATTGATAATGTGCCAAATCAATTAATTTGTATTCCTAGAGTGATCAAATAGCACCTATGGAGTGTGCACTTTAACGTGAACTAACTTTTTGTACAAACTAGCGTTAAGTACAATTTTCTAAATTTTATACATATAAAAACTATCAAAGATTAACCAATATAAATAAATAATAATTAAAACTATGAAAGAAATTTATATATATAATATATACCAATGAATTCATAGCTCCAGCTTTGAAATTATGGTGATATTGGGGCCTCTTCTCGCGAGCCAAATACACCAGAGTTGGCAAAACGAACCCATCTACATCTTTTGAGTTATTTGGATCATTTTTATGAAGTAGTATCTAGTAAGAAAATCAAAACATAAGTGTAAACAAGCATGCATCAGGGCATGCGCTATGGTGACAAAACTACTACACAAAATTGAATTGAAAATGCTTAAGAAAGCAATTTACTTGAAGAATTGTGTCATGGTCACGTCGAGAAGAATATGAATCCCACTGAGAAAACCCTTTATGCTTTAATCGTGCTTCTTTGGGTACACCACCCAACTTGGTTGCATCTTCAATTCGTCTTTCCATTTCGTTGTATAGTTTCTACAACATGAAACAAATTAAGAGAACTATAATTCTCTATAATATAAGAAGATAAATATTATTTATATCAAAAATTTAAAATAAAAACTTTAGTCTATTGTGTTTTGTCAGTTTTTTTTCATTTCAAACTTCACTTCTTTTTTCTAATCATGATTGATCATGAAGTATTCGTAACAACTTTCTAATAAAAGCTTTGGCACCGTGTATTATTGTTATATTCAAAATAAGTAAAAAAAATATACATTTCTAGGCATGACTTCGAATCTCGTTGACCAATAAGGATATGTAGTTTCTTTGAAATCCTCAAAGAGATCAAGATATGTCCTCACCTGATGGAATACCGATATTTAACTTTATCTATCTACCCAAAATAATATACGAACGCTATAGTTAATAAGAAAAAATTATCTTATATCAAAATAGCATGCATGTTAATTACAAGCTTCAAAGAAAACTTTTTTTTTTTTGGGTACAATTATATTCTCATTCTCATTCATATTAATTCATATTAGTAACTAAAATTATGTGTTAATTAACAAATCCTTGAAATTCTAGGTTCTAACAATTCAAATTTAGATTATTGATTACTATATATATATATAGGGTTTATCATCTATCATTTAACATGACCACAAAAAGTTTCCTACACACACAATATTTTGTGAGGCCCGCAGCAAAAAAAAAAAACAAACTTCGGCACGCAAAACGAATCTCTATAACATAACACAATCATTTTTCCTACAACATAACTCTTATAAAACCCATATATATATATATATATATATATATATATATATATATACCTTGATAGCTTCCAATTCTTTGGTTTGATTAGGCTCACTATTAAAATATGCAGCAGGGGACCTGGGTTCCACATTGAACCTCTTGCAGAATGGAACCCAATGCTTTGCAAAGGTAGAAGCCTCTAGCATAGCATAGAACGTGATTTCTGAGGCAGCATCATCGGAGAGATACACACTTGTCTTCTCAGCTGGATAGTCATAAGCCATAACTGATAACACTGTATTAATCACCATCATGGATGGCTCAATCTCTGGGTCTGCTGTGCATACAAAGATGTCCACTCTTGGCAACCTATTCTCATATCTGTTCCAAAACACACACATATCAGTTTCCAATTCATCTTTGTTAAATTAGATAACGATTCATGACGAATTTACGCCGGTATAAGTATTGCTATACCATTTATTAGCTGTTAATTCAGTTATACTAAAAATTGAGTGTTATATTTCTTATTGTTATGCTCATATATTAGTTAAGTAAATTGTTATGTGTCTGTGTGAGAGAGAAAAAAAAATATTTCTTCGGTAACTTGAAATAAGTTTATCTCCGGCCACCCAAAACTACGTCGTTTTGTTTATTTATTTCTTTATATTAATTGATTCACCTTTGAATGATTATGATTTCGTTTTTCTTTCTCTTCTTTTATCACCATTGATCCATCTTTGTACAGTTATGATTTAGTAGTCAGATATAAAATTATCTCAAGCAGCTTGAGAAATGATAAGCCCTATATATATATATATGGAGAATGATCCGTTTACAAACTTTTTTGACAATTTTTTACAAATTACATTTTCTTCTCCCGTGAGAACATAGTGAAACTAGTGTTCTCCCAGAAAAAGATAGTGTAGTTTGTAAGAGTTTTTAAACAAAAAGTTTATAAATATAACATGCCCCTATATATATATATATATATATATATATATATATATATATATATATATATGGAGAAGGATCCGTTTACAAACATTTTGGACAAATTTTTACAAATTACACTATCTTCTCCCGGGCGAACATAGTGTTCTCCCGGGAGAAGATAGTGTAGTTTGTAAGAGTTTGTAAACAAAAAAGTTTGTAAATATAACCTGCCCCTATATATAGATAGAGAGGATCATTTGACATCAGTGTCAAATTTAAAGTTTGACACCTTATCTGAGAGTCATTGGATCAAAAAGATCAACGACTCTGATTTGTAAGCATGTGACACTATTGATCTTTTTTTATCTAACGGCTCTTAGATGAGATGTCAAACTTTAAATTTGACACCGGTGTCAAAGGATCCTACCCTATATATATATATATATATATATATATATATATATATATATATATATATATATATATATAGAGAGAGAGAGAGAGAAAATGTTATATTTACAAATTTTTTGTTTACAATCTCTTACAAATTACACTAAGTACAATCAATCATACTTCAATTAAAAGTGTATGACTGGTCATACTTAATGTAATTTGTAAATCTCACAGGGAGAGTGTTTGCTAAAATTTGGTGTTTGCAAAGAGAGTGTTTGCAAAAATTTGAGTAAAAAATAACGATATAGGACCTTTGAGAGAGTCTATTCTTGAAGGGTTGCCTGAAGACAAGGTTCCATCGGAGTGCTTGAGTGAGTACCCAATAAAAGCCAAACCATAGCTCTGCACCAAGCAAACCAAGACATGCCCATTTTCCATCTTCACCATTTCTTGTTATGTGGCTCAACCTGTAAACCCAGATGAAACATATACTCACAAATAATGAGATTGCAAAGGTCCTATAGATGAGCCTCCCTCTTCCCCTTCTTGTCTCAAATAATGGGGAGTATTCACCACTACCCATGACTATCAATTATATATGTCTATCTCTTGCAACTTGTTAATTTGTTGTGCTTTTAATTGTGGTGCATTGTTATTCATAGCCAATATATATATACAAACGCATTGCCGTTTGAAAGTTCAATAATTTTGTCCTTTTCTGGTTGGAGTTATTGTGCCTTGTTTTTCAAAGATTAAACTTGCTCTGGTGGCCATCAAAAAGTAGTCAAAGGTAAAGTGAGAAAAGGCTATGATGAATGCAATGACGATAACGGATAAAATTTGGTGTGACTAACTACTAATAGAGGTAGGATCCTTTGAAATTTGACATCTTATTTGATAGTGTTAGATCAAAAAAAATTAATGGTATCATATACTTACAAATAAAATTCGTTGATCTTTTTGGATCTAATGGCTCTTACATAAAGTGTCAAATTTTAAATTTGACACTGATATCAAAAAATACTGCCTCCTAATAATATATCATTTTCATAAAATAAATGTTTACAATATAAATCTAAAAATTTATTTCGACGGAGATTTTTTAATGCTTTCTATCAGGTCCTCACGTCCTGTGTTAAGCAATTCGAATTGAACTCGTGATGCTATAATCATATAACCTCTAATATCATGTTAATAATTATTTAAAATAAAAGCTTTAACGGTTAGATAATGTTCTTTTTAATATTTATATATTTATCTAATAATGCACAATTATATAATCAAAATAAATAAATAAAATTTGAAAGAATAGAGAGACTCAAATTCAAAATCAGATTAATCAGATCTGATACTTGTTAAAATCTATAAAAATAAATAAATATTTACATTCTTTTTAATTAACCTCAATCACAGAACAGACTCTGTGCGTATTTAACAAAAAAGTTTTTCTATTTGATGTTTAATAAGTGATATTATAAACTTAAACAGATTATTATGAAATCAGTTGAATTACTGAGTTATTAACGTCACTAATTTAACTAGTATATAGATTATTAATTTAATTATATTAATTAAATTTATATAAGAATATATAACAAATATAATAGTTAGAAGTATTAACAAATATATAATTATGACTTAATAATTATTACTGTATGTATTATTTATTAACAGGTTTCAGACCCAACAGATTGGGGGTCTAAATTATAATAACGTAAGTATGAAGGTGTTTAGTATAAAAACAATTAAGATAGACTTATACTAGCTAGAAGAAGGTAATGTGTATTTTATCCAATAAAAAAATAAAATAAAATTGTCAATAACTAGTATAAGAACACAGGTTAATAAAAAAATTCAGTAAGGAGTGAATTTTTTTTATATATTTTTAATATTCTATTATTTTTGTTTTTATTTCTTCTTAACAAGTGTGTTACCCTTATTGGCAAAATCATATGGTTAAACTCGTTGGTGCTGCGATTTCTATTCCCTTATATGAGATACCAACATTTAAACATTTAATCTCGTCTAAATTTTTGTATTAAAAAAAAAACTCTAAGATAAGGCTCTCACCTGAAAAAATAAGGTTGCCACTAATTGAAGAGTTCAATGTACTGAATATAATATGGTATTCTTGATTTGGAAGTCATTAGAGGATGCAAAGTCCATCAATTAGACAAACACAAATTGACTTTGCGTACAAGAACGTGATCCGAATTTGTCCACAATGACCGCTCAATTCATTTTCCCATTGTGATTTATGATTCATCATTTGATGTCATATGATTTTAAACTTGTTATTTAGATTTATTGTGCTTAAATAATTTATTATTTAACCCTCCGTGATTTTAAATTTTCACTCATACCCATTGTAGTTATAAAAATATATCGCTTAGACCCCTTGTGGTCTTATATATACATAAATTATTTTTTTTTAACTTTTATCTTATATCATTATTATATTATAAATTAAAATTAAAATTATGTACCAAAAAATATAAATTATTTAATTAAAATTAAATTAATAATAATATCAATTATATCCTTATAATTTTATACATATAATTTTTTTATTTCTCTCTTTTTTATTTTATATCCTCATCTAATGCATTTAAGGCAAATAAATAAAAATAAATTTTAAAAAAATTCACTTATTTTTATCACAAAAATAAACTCAATTCAATTCAAATATTAATTTATTTTATCTATAAAATTATCTAAAAAAAAGTAAAATCTTATTTTGATAATACATATTTAATTTATCTTAAATAATATTTTTAAATTTTTTAAATATATTTTTAAAAAGAAATAAAAAATTAAGATAATTTATAAATTAATTTCAAAATAAATAACTTGAAATATTTTTTGATTTAAAATTTAATTATATTTTATTAGATAAAATCATAATTATATAAAATAAGATTTAGAAAAAATAAAAAAATTTAAATTTATAAGATCACAAGGGGTCTAAGTGATATTTTTTTATAACTACAATAAATATAAGTGAAAATTTGAAACCATACAGTATTAAATGATAAATTATTTAAACACAATAGATCTAACTACGAAATTTATAACTACAAACGATCAAATAATAAATTATAAAACCAGAGAGGATGAAAATAAAAATTTTCCTTAATTATATTAGCCGAAAAGATTAGGACATGACACAACGCAAAAAATCCTCTATGAAATATAAAAAAGGTCAGATAGTAGAAATAAATAAACAAACAAAATTTTAAAATCGCATATAGAGATAGTGTACGACTTGCACATGGCAAATACTTATGCTTTTTGATCCTTTCGCCCCTCATTAATTAATTAATAATCAATTTGCCCCTCCTCCAAAACTATCCACCATCCTGCCCTCATTTAGTCGATTAAGGTGAAGTTTTAGTCGACTACATTGTCAAAATACAAAAAAAGTGAAGCCTGAAATTTAATCGACTAAAAAACCATCTTGATCGATTAAATTTTGGGGAGGTTTAATCGACTAAAAATGTTATTTAATCGATTAAATGTCTACAGATTAGTTTTTTAAAAAAAAAACCCCCATTTCGCGAAGGGGTTATTTTCAAACCCTAGTCGATTACAAGAGCTCCAAACCCCTAAAATATCACCTCATCCAGAATCGACCCAAACCCCTCCCCCTGGCCGTCCGATTGCACCATCAAATCGCTGCACCTTGTGAAACTAAGTGGGTAGGTAACGTTTTGGCACTTCCATTGTGTTTTATCTTTTGGTTATTATTTCTTCTTCTTTACATGATATTGCACCATCAAATCACTACATTTTTTAGTCGATTAAATCAGTACAGGTTGATCGATTAAATCATTGCTTTTGGCACCCCATTCTGTTTTCCTCGGATTTTTTTGACTTGGTTGCGATTCTACATTCATGGAATACGTTAGTGTGACTTGGGGAACACAATTTGTGATACAAAAAAACAATGTGGACGTTCTATTCCGATAACGTGCACGTATTGATTGCAAACGTTGGTTTAGGTTCCCCAAAACATGGTTAATTCATTTTACATACGTATTAGTCATTGTTCTGAGTTACTATGGACAATTGTGACATGTTGTGCTATGGTTTGAACCAAATTGATCAAGTTAGTGGAAAAGTACCATTCATGGCATTTGTTAAACATTCCATGTCATCGGTTAAAAATTTGGATTGAAAGCAACATAAAGTATCATAAAGAAACATAAAGCAACATAAAGTTTACAATACACAGTACCATAAAAGAAATACATTAACTAAACCATAAACACATGAACCGCCTCCCATGGTGCCTCCTAACATCAAGTTCATAACTGAATGCACAACATTGGTTCAACTCTGTCTAATCCTCATAGGACATGTACGTTTTTTATGACCAATTTGTTTGCAGGTGCTACATCTACTCTGACTACTTATGGGTTGAGACTCAACCCAATCCATCTCATTTTGTATCCTTGAAGACTTCGGTCTTCCTTGTGCACGTACCAAAGATGCATTTGGGATAATAGTTGGGCCATCTATTTGTGGAATCAACAACTCATTACCCATTGGATACCAATGTGCAGCATAGACCTTGTCAATTTGTGAAAATGAAAACACAGGATCGACATAGTCATAGTGGTTCAATTTTTCTACCTTGCACACCGCTAACACATGACTGCAAGGAAATCTTCTAGCTGTGAACCGTCCACATTGACATTTGCGATTGAGCAAGTCCACCCTCATTATGTCGCCGGCGTCATGCGTAGATTAATTATAGGCATCCTCAACTTCAAACATCTGCAAGTCTCTATCAAAAACACGCACATGGAGACTCATCGTTAACTGATCATTCTTTTGTATATAATCCTCAACCTTTTTTGCAATTCTCCAGCCTTTTGCCATTGCTTTTTGGATCTTTTTAGTCGATTAAACCTCCCCAAAATTTAACCGATCAAGATGGTTTTTTAGTCGATTAAATTTCGGGCTTCACTTTTTCTGTATTTTGACAAAGTAGTCGACTAAAACTTCACCTTAATCGACTAAAGGGGGGCAGAATGGTGGATAGTTCTGGGGGAGGGGCAAATTGGTTATTAATTAATTAATGAGGGGCAAAAGGGTCAAAAAGCCCAAATACTTATGTGCCAAATGAGAGACATTTGCACTTAAGGAGAATGCACATTCTCGTTACTATGAGATTGGTGTATGATTTGTTGCAGCATACTATGTGACAAGGTTTGATGCAAGGACACGCTCTGGGAAAAAAATGTGTGTCGAATATGTGTTAGACACTAGGGTTAGCAAAATCGAGTGGGTTGGCTCGTAACCTGCCAAAAATGAGCCGGGTTGGGTTGGCAAAAATGAGCTGCCAACCCGACCCGAGCCAGCTCGTGAAAAAACGAGCCAACCCGCGGGGTCAAACGAGGCAGCTCGCGGGTTGAGATTTTTTTTTATACAAAAATACAAAATATAGTATACAAAATTGGACAAAATCCACACGTGTTGTCATCATTTTTCTTTCTTATCTAAACTTAAGTCCCTAATCTTCTCCTATTTTTATATTGTTAGGTTGTGTTGCCTCTGTTTGGTTCAAATATTTTACCC